CCTATACCTTATATAATGAATGTTACTCACTTACTATACCTTATATATTGAATGTTAACTCGACTTACATACCTTATATATCGAAATGTTAACTCTACTGACTTACATACCTTATATATGAATGTTACTCACTGACTTACATACCTTATATATGAATGTTACTCACTGACTTACATACCTTATATATGAATGTTACTCACTTACATACCTTATATATGAATGTTACTCACTTACATACCTTAGATATGAGTGTTACTCACTTACATACCTTATATATGAATGCTACTCATTGACTTACATACCCTATATATGAATGTTAGTCACTTACATACCTTATATATGAATGTTACTCACTGACTTACATACCCTATATATGAATGTTACTCACTTACATACCTTATATATGAATGTTACTCACTTACATAACTTATATATGAATGTTACTCACTTACATACCTTATATATGAATGTTACTCACTTACATAACTTATATATGAATGTTACTCACTTACATACCTTATATATGAATGTTACTCACTTACATACCTTATATATGAATGCTACTCACTGACTTACATACCTTATATATGAATGCTACTCACTGACTTACATACCTTATATATGAATGTTACTCACTGACGTACAATATAGTGTTTCTTTTTTATTGTGAAGACTTCAGTAACAATGAGAGACGGATTTTGTTTATCATTGTAACTGTGTTCACAATAATATGGTGTTTGTTTATATTGTAAGGACCTCGATAACAATTAGACAAAGATTTGGTTTATAATTTTAACTTTATAAAACATTATAGTGTTTGTTTTTATTGCGAGAACGTCTCTAAAACATTACTATTTTCGACCCTTATTTCCAATAAAATATTCTGACGTTTCGGTTTTGCATCTTTATCAACAGTTAACCGAAACATCGTAATGTCAATTTTCCTAGAGAGTCGTTTCCTCAGAATAGTTAGCATTCAACTGAAGTTAGTTAATTTATTCTTCAGTCTACCTATTTCTGGTGAGTTTCTTATAAAAGGTTGTCTTTATTGAAGTCAATTTTTTTTTTTTTACTTTTAAATCATTTTACTTTTGATGTCTGTTGTTATATTTCTTTTGACCAGTTATCAATGATTTAGAGAACTAAAGCATTGTCGTTATGTTTCATATTCGCAAAATAGAGTTACGTACCAAACGTTAAATATCTTATTAAATACCACATAAAGAATAGCATGTGACGTATAACATTTACAGGTAACTAGCTTGTATTATCAATAAATACATAATTCATGATGATATTAAAATAACAGAAAGGTCAAATGTCATAATAGCAGAAGTAAAGATCCTGCACTAATAATTTAACTCGCATGTGAATTACGTCTTGGCGATAAAATTCTGGGTCTCCTCACTGCTTGCAATACAAACTATAGAATCCATGAGTGAAAACAAAGAATATTGTTTGTTTGTTTTAATTATGCACTAAGCTACACAAGGGCTATCTGTGCTCTGCCCACCACGGGTATCGAAACCCGGTTTCTAGCGTTGTAAGTCCGCAGACATATAGCTGTGCCACTGGGGGGCGACAAAGAAGAATATGTTATAACACGTCAACCACACTACATGTGCTATATTCAGTATCGAAGAAGCCTTTCGTTAAACACCAAGACTCATCAGACATATATAAATAGGATAATCAGTGAACTCGATTAAGTGAAGTGTAATTATTATAACTGTAAGGGTTAATAACACATATTTTATATATTTATTAATAAACCTACATAATCAGTGCTATGTTGATCGATTTGTTGTTTACGATACAAGCTACATCTTTTGAAACCTACGCACTTTAATATCGATACACATTTTTTTTTTAATTGAGGCCAATCTGTGGCCCCCTAAAATGTGGACTCTTACATGTTTCGACGTTTACCACGTCATCATCAGGAGTGAACTTGAAAGATTAATACATATTTATTTCTTCTTAGCCTCATCATGTGACCCGTGTGTAACTTTACATTTCTGCATAAATTTCACAGAAGGTCCGGCCACATTCTTACACATATATTCGCCGGACATTCATCTATATTTAATAATTCACGATTTTTTAAACTTAATTATTTCTAAAGATTCGCGGATATTACTGGCCCTAATAAACTTTGATTGCGCCAATATTAGTGTTTTCCCATTATGTATTATATTGTGTTGTAATATTACATGTTCTACTGTCGCCGAATTTTCAGTTCTTTCATTTTTTATACATCCCTTATAAATTACGTTTTATCTGTCCAATATAAACATTTCCACATGCATGTTCCATCTTATAAATTTGAGCTTTTTCTATAAACCGTATATTATCTTTAGTATTACCTAAAATTGTTTTATCTTTTTCATCGGTAATTACAAACCAACAAACAGTGTACTTTAAAAGTGTAATTATAAACATGCACACAGTGCACTTTACAAATGTACTTATAAACCTACACTCAGTGTACTTTATAACTGTACATATAACTGCAGTGGTAATAACATAAAATTAGCTATTCTTGAATATATAGTTTTGCTGCATAACTAGATTGTGTAATCACCAATATATTTTCTACAAGTGATTCTCTAATAGTCAATTGCTGCCCATTTCACAGTCAACTCATGAAATTAGGTTTTTTAATATATGAAGTGTAGAGGATGAAATACAATAACCGCAATATGTGTAAGTGTAACAGCTTCATGAAGATGTTGCGAATCACTTTCCAAATATTTTAGTGTCTCAGTTCACTGGGTTAAAAATGTTGCTACATTTCTGAGTATTCCTTCCGTTAATCAGGAAGTAAATTTCCTCAGGATAATTCGTATCTTTCTTCTTCCGCAAAAAAAAAGTTTTCGTACACATGTTCTTGGTATTCGGGAAAGAGAACACATACGGTTTTCATACAAAAGAACGGATTATCACAAAATTTCCCATTCGCCTTCAGATATATTTAAAACATAAAATAGTTGAATAACCAAACATGGATTTAAATTTTAAAAAGTTAAGTGAGTTCAAATCTATTATATTTTATCAAAGATTTTTTTTTCAAATTAGCATGTATTTCATGTACTATTATAAGTTGGCGTTTCAGTTTTTAACCTCTTAGTAAACATATTTTTTATTAAATGCTTTGTCTTACCTTTATATGTGTTGAAACAACGATAAACCATAACATACCTAATAACAGTTACGTTTATGAAGAGTAAACTTTGAATCAAAATTAAAGGTCTTGCTTATGTAAACCTACAAATAGAGAATATACAAAATTAGGTATTCGTCATATTATAGTGTACTATGATACACAAAATTAGGTATTCGTTATATCAGTGTCCTATGATAAACAAGATTAGGTATTCGTTATATTAGTGTCCTATGATACACAAAATTAGGTATTCGTTATATTATACTGTCATATGATACACAAAATTAGGTATTCGTTATATCATAGTGTTCTATGATACACAAAATTAGGTATTCATTATATTATAGTGTCGTATGATACACAAAGTTAGGTGTTAGTCATATTATAGTGACCTATAATATACCAAAATGACGAATTCACCATATTATTGAATTCTATGGTATTCCAAAAAAGATTAACTTAATATAATATTTTGTCCGAGGTGTTTCCAAACGAAGTATTCATAATAATATTGTGCCTGACGGTGTTACAAAATGAAGATATTATGTCCATTGGTATTCAACAACGAAGTATTTGTCATATTCTGTCTGACAGAGTTCCAAAACGAAGCATTTGTCATAATAATGTGTCTGTCGTCACTGGTGCCAATCCAGCAAATGTTTTATTCAAAATGTATGAACTGTTGATGACGTAGCATGTCACGGAGTTGATACATCAACTGTAATTATTACTTAAGAGCAAGAGAGTTGAAAGGAACGAAAAAAAAAACCATAGGAATTTCGACTTTATATTAACATTAGTGATTTCCCCATAAACATAACTCATTAACCAGACGTTCTACACTTCTCAAAATAATTAAGACTTATTTGGGTAGCTGCACCTCCCTCCCTATCTAATTGACACCACTTTCTACGTGTTCCAAAACAGGGTTTTCGTCGCCATAATGTATACTCTTTCTATCTTAACTTCCCGCCAGACAATGACCGCTGTGGTACAATTAAATCTAAAACAAAAAGTTGTATCTGTTCATTTTTAGTTTTTAACCTCTTATTTAAATTTCAGAATCGAATATTCTTTTACAGACACTTTTATTGAAGTTAATTAATTCCTTTGAAAAGAGCCCCCCCTCTCTCTCTGTTTAAGAAATACTGGAAATATAAGAACAATATACAAATAATTGAGAATTTGATTATATGCTACGACATTCTGTATTGTTTGTTGTTAAGCGCAAAGCAACACAATGGGTTATCTTGTGCTATGCCAATCGTGGGTACCCAAACTCGATTTTTAACGTTATAGATTCACTTTATCTTGTGTAATCATAAGTCAAGAAGAGCTTTAAATTTAAGAATTCTAGATATATAATCTTTCTCATTTTGTATGAAAGGTTAACTAAAATTCTTAATTGTTAGAAGTATCTGTTGTTTTGTTGTACGAAATAGTCATTCCACATTACCAACATGTATTTCAGTTCATAACTTCAGTTATTTAAATAAGTTATGTTATATTTTGTGGTCACCTTACTACACATGATGTGTTTTAACTGTTAACTTGAAAGTTCGACTGAGTAGAAGCCAATTACCGACATTCACGAAATTAAACTTGAATGAGAATTGTTTACCGACATTCAGGAGGTAAGTGGAAGCGAACACTATAGTTATCGACTCCAGAATTTAACTCTTAACTTTAAATGTAAATAATTCATATTTTAGTAAGTACTGGAAAGTTGCACAATTATCAGAAGATTATCCATATCTTATCAAGCAGTGACTTTATCACAAAACGTAGTGGTTTTCTATGATCACGACTGAATGAAGATAATCAAGCTATTAAAGATTTCAGGAAATTTCCACACCAATTCGGTCAATGTGTTGGGCTATAATGCTTGGTGTCATGACGAGGTACTTCAAAACATTACCTGTGTTTGCAACATGACTTTGGTAAACTGGGTTACATATACATTGATGCAATGTTTCACTTTAATGCAATAATATTTTGGAAGTGTCATCGTGACAGAACAGAATATTATCCTCAACACAGACTGACATTTTGTTTTTCCAAAGACTTTATTAAAATCATCAAATAGTCGATTTGAGCAGTAACCGTGAATTCAAACTGAAGTTATAATAAAGTTAGTAGTTTATAAACAACAATACAAATCAATAATTTTAAGTGGTTCATATTGTTTGAGTTAGAATAAAGTTAGTAGTTTATAAACAACAATACAAATCAATAATTTTAACGGTATTCAACTTTTTTATAAGTTGTCTCTTTGAATTGTTCTCCACCAGGTATGAAACCTGCCACTGACTTTACCCCCCCCTCTATTTTCCACATTCTCTATTCTCCTACACGCGTTTTCTTCCAGTCGAAGGTGATTAAATCCACTTTTATTAGTAACGTGCTTTATTTTTCTTTTCTGTCATGCTTTGTTGGGTAAAATATAATTCTATCCAGCTTTAAATAAACAAACAAAAATCAAAGTAACAACAGTAATGTAATATTATATAGACGTATACCCATCATATCACTTTGAAAAAGCAAGTAAGACTTAAACACTTCTGTGTATTATATGTATTGTGTTTTGAGATATCTTTTACTCACATGATATAGGTTCATTGTGTGAGTATAAGATATATAAAACTACGCTATAAATATAATGAAGCCTACTCTCAGTCTTTTTGATGAGTGATGGGATACCCTGAAACCGGTATAACTTAGTACTTCTGTGTATTATGGGATTCCCCGAAACCGGTATAAATTCTGTTTACTATTACTTGAAAGTGATAGGAGTTTTACAGCAACTGAGATAAAAAAGTATTTCGACTCTGATGAAATAAACAATAGTATTCTGATGTTAAAAGTCTAACAACCAGTCACTTCTGAGGGTTGAGACCATTGTAAAAGTATAACAACCAGTCACTTCTGAGGGTTGAGACCATTGTAAAAGTATAACAACCGGTCACTTCTGAGGGTTGAGACCATTTTTAAAAATATAATAACCAGTCACTTCTGAGGGTCGAGACCATTGTTAAAGGTATAACAACCAGTCATTTCTGAGGGTCGAGACCATTGTTAAAGGTATAACAACCAGT